GTTGTTTCCCTTACACCAGTGATTCTCAAACTTTTCTGGCGTCAGGATCCATTTTGCTCTTAAAATATATTGGGTACCGTAAAAAAACACTGTTCTAATGGGAATGTATGTCAATATTTATTGTGTTAGAAATTAAAACAGAATTTCAGAAGTATTTATAAATTCATTTAAAAAATAATAAACCCATTGCATGTTAATAGAAGTAACATATTTTTATTAAAAAAAATTCATTTTCAAAAACATTTAGTGAGAAGAATGGCATTGTTTTGCATTTTTATCAATCTCTGTAATGTCTGGCTTGGAAAAAGACAGCTGGATTCTCCTGCTTCTTCATTTAATCTCTTGTGACATCACATGTCCTGTAGCCTCTGGAAAACTCCACATGTCAAGTACAGTCATGAGAGTACAGGAGTAAACAAGGCAAATAACATCTTAGCATTGTTAGAGTGAGAACTGTTTGTACTTCAAGGATCTTAGTGAGAGAGGGTTTTTATCTGCCCCAAATCTCTTCTCTGGGAGAGACCTTCAGCCCATGTCAGTAGGACCAGACTCAAGTCGCAGCATGCACCTGACACACTATCCTGTTTTACAAGAGTACCATTGAAAGAGAGTCAACAACCTTCCCTGTTTTACAGACTATTTACCCGATAAAACAACTGGAGCTTCAGTAATGCTGGGGAAAAAGGATATGAGGCCAAAGATTACAAGGAATGTTTATATATCTAGTTAACATTTGTCCCCAAAGCCTTAAGAATATATTTAAAACTGGATTTTAAAAAACCTTTATTAAGGACAAATTACTCTGAAAATTGACCCCAAAACACTAGGTGTCACATTAGCAATCAAGGGAATAGTCCCCTGACCACATTTTTCTTGAATTAACAACGAAGTTTCCACTGTTTTCCTAGACAACAGCAGCTAACCATTAAGGGTTCGTTTAGGGCAGAACACGGTCTTCATTCAGTCATGCCCAAAACAGTGCGTTAATTTCATGTAATTATGTGCAGAAACCCGGTATTGTGTGTAAACGATACTGTTTCTCACCACAGAGTTTGGGAACTGGTGGTAATTGCAGCTCCAGAAAAGGTCTAGCTTCATTTAATAGAATACATAAAGCCTATTTAAGGAATGAAAAAGTCAGTAGGTTTTGGTTGTGCATTGGTTCTTGAGGTTAATTACATACTTTCTCAGTGAGAGAAGAAAATACATTAAAAACCAGAGCTAAATCCCAATGGTAAAATCCTTCCTTTCCCACACTCCAGGAGTTCTTTCACGTTGTTTCTGTTTCCGTTTAATCATGTGTACTGTCACCCTGTCAGTGTAGTGCAGAAGATATGTGATTCATAGGTATGGAATGCTCTTCCTGAGGGCTTTACTGGAACTAGTGGTACCCAAGAAGGGGGAGAGGAGAGTCAAGGAGCTTGTTGTCTAAATTTAGAGCAAAGTAACAATATGCCCTGTGGGGATCAAATAAATAAATACTGCAAAAGAACCTACAAAAATATAAGTTGTTTTATTATCAACAAATGTTTATTGAAGACCCACTATGTGTTCCATCAGCAGTTATCATCAAAGTGCGCTGTGCTGGGCAATGTGCACTATATACCAAGGTATGAGGTGCCTTTCTGTGCTGGAGTTTTACACTCTAGTTGCAGGGATAAGCACACAAGATAATATTAGATCAGAACAGAGATGCAGCAGATACAGTATTTATTATTATTATTATTATTATTATTATTATTATTATTATTATTATTATTATTATTATATTGCATTATTATTATCATATTAGATCAGAGCAGAAGTGTGGCAAAACATTCAAAAGCCTCAGAGATCCCTTCTGCTCTAGGCTGAATGTTTGTGTCACCCCAGAATTCATAGGTTGAAACTGAATTCCCAGTGTGATAGTATTTGGAGGTGGGGCATTTGGGAGGTGATTAGGTTCTGAGGGTGGAGCCCTCATGAATGGGATTAGTGCCCTTTGAAAAGAGACCCCCCAAGAGCTCCCTCACCTCTTCTGCCATTTGAGGACATAGTGAGATCCAGATGGCTGTCTCCGAACCCGGGAGCAGGCCCTCACCAGACATTGAATCTGCTGGTACCTTGATTTTGGACTCCCCAGCCTGTAGAACTGACAAATGAATTTCTGTGTTTATAAGACACCCAGGCAATAGTATTCTGTTAGAGCAGCCCAAACCTCCAGTCAGGGGTTGCCCCAGGCAGCTTTGTGGATCTGGTGTGACCTGAATACTCAAGGTCTGAAAGAGTATGGTCCATGGAGTATTATTAAAGCCAAAATTATTATTGACAATTTCCTGGCCCAAAACTAGGTTTGTGCTTATGTTAAATGTCTTAAATACCTAGTAGTATAAACTTCTGTATACTATCCCCTACCAGCCCCCAAGATGTAAAGGAGAGAACCAAAGAATTTCCACTGTGAAATTTTTTTAATGAGTTAAAGTGTAAACGATTCATAAACATAAGGATTTTATTTCCCTTCAGAGTCTCCAGCCCGAGGAGAAGGTATGTGTCTGGTGCAGTTTGCTGTTTGCCGCAGGAAGCATGTTAAGGCTAGGAGTGAGGTTGGGGAGACCATTTGATCAGGGTCCTGGCACGGTCTTCTCTTTCCCACATGTTGAGCTGACTGCTGTCAAGAACACTTTTTGCTATTGAGCAAATTTATGGTCATTCCATTTAGTTTGATTAAATAACTTCCTTTGGGGAAAATATTAGACATTGTTAATTAGATGTTTCTCTAGAAAAGTCTAAAGGAATCAATTCCGTTTGGTGTTGTGTAGTAAAGAGTCTAACTTTTACTGCAAAAAGAGGCTTGGCCTTGTCCTCAGCTTCCTGGTAGGAGAGTTTTTGTTAGCCTGGGGGTCCTGGGCCAGCAGATAGTCACCAATGATGTAGGGTGGGGGGTTTGAGGCTGTATCAGTGGACCTCCTGAAGGGCTGGAACCTTTAACCATTGGATAAAGACTGGGCCCCTAGGCTTGGGCAAATACCTACCTAGGCTTGGCTTCCTTGGTTGGGGACACTCAATGCATTTTGTCACATATCAGTGCCAAGAAAGTGACAGTGTCATGACTCCATGGGGAGAGGAAACAGAAATTCTGCCTTCCGTACTCTCTTGAACTCTGCCCTGTATATTTCGTTCTCTGCCTGAATCTAATCTGTATCCTTTAGCTGTATTAAAGCATAATCATAACAGCTTTCAGTCAGTTCTGTGAGTTCTCCCGGCAAATTATCAAACCTAAGTATGGTCTGAACCTCTGAACTTGCAACTGATGTCAGAAAGGAGGCAGTCTCTTGTGTGTTCTGCTTCTTCTAACTTTTCAGACGGCTAAACTCTCACAGGTAGAAAGGCACGTGTGTATGGCTTGCAAAAGTCCCCACCAGCTCAGCTTTACTGCCTGAAGTCTATCAGCCCTGGCCTAACCTCATAAAATGCAGGTAGAATATTCCTACCAATATTTTGGTCAGGAGAAATCACATCGAAAGGAAGATTAGCGCAGTTTGGGAAAAGAGGACACATACACAGACAAAGATGTCCATCCAAACATTTACCTGAAGAGTGAATAGAGGACTGACTACATAAACTATGATATTGCATAGAGTCAATGTTATTTTAAAGATTGGATAGATATTTACATCCTAACATGAAAAGATCTCCAAAATAGTTTATTAAATTATAAGAGCAAAATACAAAGAATTAGCTTTTTTTAAATTGAAGTATGGTCAGTTTACAATATTATGTCAATTTCTGGTGTGCAACATGTTTCAGTCATACATATAC